TTATTTTTACACAACAAAAGATGAATGTAATGTTTTCTTTTATATTATTATTGTATTATTAGAAACAATAATAGGAACGATTTTTATTATTAAGAAACAAGATAACATCATTTATGTCCAGTAAACTAAACATCTTGTATCTTCTATATTCAGATTCGTTTTAAACTTCAATCTAATCAAAATAGTCAAGTATGATTTATTGTACTAAAGATGATACAAGGAAATATGATAAAGGCTGAACGCAGAATATTAGTATCGTTAGACTTTGAAAATTATTGATTACAAGAAGATGTAAGTTTTAATGTAAACTCGAGAATACATAAAAGAACGTACGTAGAAGAATCAGCTACCAAAAATTAAATACATTCTGTATTTCTTATTGTAATAAAAAATAGTTTTAATAGCTTCTTGCTGAGGCAACAAGCAATATGCATAACTTTCGTGAAACTACGCGCAATTAAATCTTCACACGTGATCAAATATCCTTCGAATCCTTTTTTCGTTGAATTGTCCAACATAAATATTCGTCCAGTTTCTTAGTCCTCGCATCTTCGATTAACAAAAAACCTGTTTAGCGAGTGGAGGACGTTGCGTCCAATTCTTCCACGTCGTCGCGAGCGGTCACATTAAAAGCGTCGTTAAGAGAGGGACTACTTTTATAGCACGAATCTATCGCGAGTTATAGCATCGCCGGGCAACAAAGCCGAGCTGGCTACAATTCTGGAGCTCGCAATTATCGTCCGCGACTTCTTCCACGGCCTCGCAATTTACCATTAAAATGTCGCTTTCGCATTACGCCGCGCGGCACGGCTCGCTTTAAAAGCTTTCGACGTTACTTTTCATTTGTACGGAACGCCGGCTTTCGAGAGCATCGCGTCGCGTCGATTAAGCGTGCCGCGCACGCTTCCCCCTCGCGATTTTCTTCTAACCCGCTACCATAATTATATCCCTTCGCTCGACTATTTTCCATTTACTTTGCCCTCGTTTTCGTTCTATTTCCACCTTTATACCGGCATCTGCGAATCGTCGCAGGAAACGAAAATCACTGCATTCCGTTTGTCAAGCATGATCGAACGGATTTCTCACTTTTTGTCGAGCCTTTTACGCGAAACTGTCATTAGTACAGACGGGATACGATCTAAGATCTGTGTAATACATATGAGATAAATAAATTCGAATCGTTTCGAAAATAATTCCGAGACAAGGACACTTTTGAAAGTTTTGACAAGTTGTTCTTGATTGATCTGGTTATGTTGTGTCATGCATTTGAAGTTTCGAATACACTCAAAATCCTTCAATTTAGATCTGAATATCCGAGCACATCCGATAAGCTTCTTCTATTCGGATGTCCGAGTACTTATTTGAAAATATTCGTTGATCTTGATCATCGTTATTCGATTATGAGGTACCTGAATTCAAGTTAAACAGAACAAATTTATGGCTTTGTAGCTTATGCTTTCGAACATTATTAACATAATAATTATAACTTATTACATTGAACGTAATTTAAGAATAAATTGAGTAACTAAGTATTACTAATTCATAACGAAGCAATATTGCATGCATTTGACAACATTTTACGACCGCTTCGGAAAGCGACAAACTAGACAATTAGATTCAAGTTAGTTGGAACGTTTCATTATAATTAATACGTTTACTGAAAGTTTGCCTTTTCAGTCGGAATTCAAATTTATAAGGAAACTTTCATACCCGTAGTATGAGTAATCACGAAAGAAATCTCGCAAATCTCGATTCTGTTGACTCCAGTTCAAATTCAGATATATTTTCGAACATTCAGATCAGAAGTTTTAATATTTAATGCTCAGATTCAGGTTCAGGCACTGTATAAGCTCGATATTAAACTCTGTATTTAAGCCATCGTGTTTACCCTTCGACTGTTTCTGCGAAACGAAAGAACGTAAGATTCTGTTTACGCTCGCAGACCTCCGTATGGTATATTCAATGCTCCACATGCAAGCCATCGTGTCATTTTTGGAAAATTCCATTTGTTTTCATTTCTGCGAAGAACGCTGTGCCGTTTTTGTCGCGAGGCTAACAGAAAGAATAAAAAAATAACCAGATGCAAGTCAACACTCACGAGTGAACTGCGTAGCGATTCTGTTCATTCCATGCGACGACGTGTCACCTTTTCACACGCGAGTGTTGTCAGTCTCGTCCTAGCGTTCGACCGAGCGTGACGTACGCGCGCGTTACTAGTTGCCCGAAATAAATAGAGGAAAGTGCACGTCGACACTGGTCGTTTCCCGTCGAGTTGTTAAAGAGCCACGGTATCCAAAAAGTTCCTCTTTTAAATTAACGTTGCCGGCCCTTTGCCGACCAAGCGCAGATCGGTTTTCGTTCGCTGGTTAAATTAGTTCGGGGACCATCCGCTGGACATGCAGTTTGAATTACACGAACCGACGCGATGCGTCAGCTATTTCGGTGGAAATGCGCGCAATTATTATTAAGATTCCCTCGTTTAATTATGAATGAGCATCGATATCGGGGCTCGTAGCCGTGACGGGCCTTAATTAATCTTCATTCGCTGTGAATTCGCGTCTGTCAACGGTTTCGATTAAAAAGCGTGTACATACTTCATAACGAACGACAGCCATTAGGCTGTGATGGATTGCCGGATCGAAACCGCGGTCCCATTCGTTTATTCAAACCGCCGGCCAGAAATATCTTATTACCAATTACACCGAGCTGCGATCGGACTTTTCATTTATGCACACGGTAGGTAATAGAATATAATGTACAGGAGCGACGCGAGGTTGTTTGCATACGGACGCGCGAAATTCAAAATTGGGATTTTGGAGGTTAGACAATTCGAGACCGAGTGTAACGGCGAAATACGTACATATATTTCACTTAGTATATAGTGTTATATCCATACTGTGTACGGTGTATAACTGTAGTTCACATACGTGAACTTGTAAACTCGGTGTATTCACATGGGAGCCTCGTGAATCTCTGATAAGAAGTAACGTTTATTAACCACAGCATATGAATATCTGTATGTAAAATAACAGCAGTCCTTTTCAAAAGTCTTAGGACACTTTTATTTCTTATATTTAGTACTTATTGTGAATTATCGTGTATGTATATTTTATAATACAATATAATATAATAATACAATATATTAATATATTAATATATTAATAGACTTTTTATTGTACAAAGAACATTTATTATATGTATTTATTGTAAATACAATTTATATTTTATATTGTAAATATTGTATTTATTGTATATAATTTATAATCTATATTTATTGTACTATTTTTATCATACAAATATAATACTTGTCCTAAAATTTCTGAGCAGGAGTGTACATATAATACACATACATGTACAAATACAGTTTTATTCCAGAGAATCTAAGAAAAAGTATTTGTACAATAGTTGATCGAATTAATATAATTATGAGATCAGTTATCTCATGGACCATGTGTGTGCTGTTAAGTTAAGATTAAACTTCATTAAACTAACTTAAATAGAATCTACTACATGCTGTTTACTCAGTCCTATGCAGTGTCACACTGCTTTTCTCTACTCAGTGATCAGAGCCACACTGTTTTAAAGATCAAATTTAAACTGTTTATACTTTTTCTCGATATACACTTGTCGCCATTCATTCTCTCTCACATTCATATTCTGAATATTACATTATATTTATTGTACTATTTTTATTACACAAATACAATACTTGCCCTAAAATTTCTGAGCAGGAGTGTACATATAATACACATAAACATACATGTACAAATACAGTTTTATTCCAGAGAATCGAAGAAAAAGTATTTGTACAATAGTTGATCGAATTATATATAATTATGAGATCAGTTATCTCATGGATCATGTGTGTGCTGTCAGCTTAAGATTAAACTTGATTAAACTAACTTAAATAGAATCTACTACATGCTGTTTATTCAGTCCTATGCAATGTCACACTGCTTTTCTCTACTCAGTGATCAGAGCCACACTGTTTTAAAGATCAAATTTAAACTGTTTATACTTTTTCTCGATATACACACTTGTCGCCATTCATTCTCTCTCACATTCACATTCTGAATATTACATTATTTTACAACTGCTGTAAGCAAGCCATTCCTGTGCCTGAGTCACCTTAAGGTTATAAACTTGATCTATACTGGGTTTTAGTATTCCTACAAAATTAACTTCTATTTAGTTCAAGATAGACGACCAAGTTCAGGATGTTATAAGACCTGCATATTGCACCTGGTGTCTACGTTGTTGTTAATCGAAGGATCACATGTGTAACAAGAGTTTGTTTTAACAGGAAACATGATCAACAGGGAGAAGTTACTTTCCACAATCCAATTATTATAATTTTGCAATGTAATATAATTTATAGTATGTACATTGGGTGTACCGTAACATGTATATATTATAACACTTCAGAAAGTGAACAAATGACATGAAACAATGAAAAAAGTTTATGTGCCCTATTTTATTTTATTATTCCAAAGTTATTATTAATTTATTACAATCATAATTAAGTTATTAATTTTTGTACTTCTGTGGTCACCTAAAAACAAATATTGTTATTGTCTATTGTTATAATACTTAATACATTTACGTATGTATATAATACAACAGATCATTGAATGATAAAAATGGCTAACTTTGAAACGAGACGTGTATTCACCTGAATTTTTTTCATTATTTTAATATCCTGAGGTGGCTTCACGTGTTATTTGAAAATATATTATTTAAAAACACTTGTCTATTGGTTCTTTTACAAAATCGCGAAAAACGAAACAAATTTCGATAGTAACATCGAAACATCCATACAAAAGTATGGTGACTGTCGTCCAATTCCCAAGAATCATTAAACAAAAGCCAGTCCTTAAAGCTACACTTAAAAAAAAATTAACTTTTCAAAAATTAGCTCGTTGTAGATATACGCAAAATGATCATGTTCGAAATCCTGCTCATCGTTAGTTCTAACAACTCGAATCTGTTTGTGTTTCCAGGTGAATTGCAGCTTGACACGCGCGCGCAGCATCGGCATCGTCTCCGGCAGCTTGGCTCTGCTGGTGCTCGGCAGACTGAGAATCACCGGCACGAGGCCGGAATTCGCCAGCGCGGACAATCCGACCGCCAGGCATCCGTCTCGTCTGACGCGCGGTCTTACGTTTCTCTATCTACCGGCGGCAAGCGCCCGGATGTTACTCTGCCCGAGCACGCTGAGCTTCGACTGGTCGATGGACGCGGTGCCGCGTATCACCAGCCTGCTCGACGCGAGGAACCTCGAGTCCGCCTGTTTGTACACGGCGTTAATCGGCGCCTCGATCTGGACGATCAGAACGCTTCGTCGGCCACCGCGGGAGTTTACTCTGAACCTCGTGCAGCAGTATCCACGCTCCATGTCGTCCAGGTGTCCGGTGTGCGCTGGCAGGCGTACAGGAGGCTGCCACACGGACGGGTGTCGCGCGGCGAACAACAATAACAACGGGCCGATCGGCGATTGTTACTGCGCGAAGAGGCCTAACAGCGGATTAATCTGGATCAACGGATACGCCAGCAGGCAGGCGGCTGCGAGCGGCGTCGCCGCGTCCCTCGGTTTCCTCGTGCTTCCCTTCCTACCGGCTAGCAATTTGTTCTTCTACGTGGGCTTCGTCATAGCCGAGAGGATCCTCTATTTACCGAGCGTGGGCGCGTGCCTGATGGTCGGCGCAGCGATCTCTGGATGCTACCAGGTAGCCAGACGACACGGATCGAGAAGAAGAGGCAGGGCAGTGCTGCTAGCCACGGCGGTACTCGTCTGTCTGATGTCTGCGAAGACTTTGTTGAGGAACACCGACTGGTTCGATGAGGAAAGTCTCTACCGGTCGGCTCTGCACGTGAACCCTCCGAAGGGTGAGTTTGCATTTCTTTATTGTTTCCATCTTTCTATTGATTGACGCGTATTTTATTGGAATATCAGTGATCTGTTTACGTACAATTTCTCGCGTCTAGACACGGGCTGATACATTTTTATGTTTTATTTTATTCATGGGGTGGAGGGAATCCTTTCGTACACAGAACAAAGTGGCGAGTTTTTAACGGTGTAAGCCCGCGATGAATTTTTATTCGTATCTTTATTATCTGACTACTGTGCTTCTGTTTCTTCTTTCTTCTGTTTCTGATCTTTTGATACTTTGAATTCATTGCCAGTGAACTCTGAATGCAAATGCAACTTCTCTTTCTTTTCTTTTCGCTTTCCATTGATGTTCTCTTTATCTTTTGCTACACAGAGTTGCCAATTCTGCCAGCTCTTCAAGAAGCTCTCCGAACTCGATTCTTTGCATCTTCTTTCAAACTGACCTTTATTTCCAAAATTTACGTAGACATGGCACAACGAATTTTACAGCACAGTATAGCGTAGTAACACAACTATGGTCTTGGCGCAGCTTAGCTCTCTTTAATACTGGAAAAACTGAAAGTTTATCGAACTTATACTCTGTTACTTATTTGGAAATTCGATCTGCAAATATACAACTGTATTATATTATGTATTTCTTCGAATAGATAGTCTTCCATCACGTTTATCGCAAAATGAGACGATTATATCTTGGATCACCAGAACTCGAATCCAAAAATTTCCAATTCTAGCTAGTACGCATCTATGAATAGAATTTTCTATAAACATCACATTCGTAGCATAAGCCTGACGCGGATGCAACAGTTGGAACGTTTCTGCAGGAAAACAGAAACAATACCCCCATTGTACCCGTATAAATACGTCTAACGTGCATGCGTCTGACACTTAGGAAATCCCACCTCTTCACCACCGTACAAAGGACCTAATTCCCTATTCGCCAGAGTCGTTCGCTTGTCCATATACCGACCCTGAACAATGAACACGCGTAATTCGTCGTATATTTTTTCTCCTCCCCAGCGTCGTGTTTTCCATTCAACGTTAAACACGCCAACGGCCAGCAATTGCTACTTTACCAACTCGTTAATGTTTTAATTACTTAGCCAGCGGAAGAGAGGGGGTTTTCTCCGTTTTTTTTTCTTTTTTTTGCAGTCGCGAGGGAAAGCAATAAATACAGGTTGCAACGCGCACGCAGAGGACGAACGCGGACGAATTAAAAAGATAACGATAATAAAGAGTCGCGTGCTGATGATAAACGAAGCCGGGGGGGGGGGGCCGATGATCGAAAACAGATACGTCCGCCGGCAACGAAATATACGGCGCCGCGTATAAAAATGAAATTCCGCCGTCCGCGTCGCTCGGATATATCGCTCGGTAGTTTTCTCGTTATACGGCGACTCATTCTGACGACGGTGACGGCTTGCCCTCCGCTATCCAGCCTCTCATCTTCAACTTGCCTTGCTAGCCAACCGATCCCGCCTACCGTGTGTACATAAAATCGCCGACCGAGGTGGATACGCGACATGCAATACCACCGTGCTCGGCAATAGTCGCATCGTACCTTCGCTCCGTCACCTGCCCGCTTTTTATCGCCGCCCCCCTTATCCGTCTTCGTCTCTGTTTTTATGTATCATCGTTAGACGTGTCCTCCTCTATGTACGTAGCCTTCGCCAACGCCTCGTCTACACGATCGTTTTATTTCCCCCTTTTATTTGCTGCGTCTCTCCCACGAGTTGTCGCGTCATTGTCCTTCGTACATCCCTTTCGATCTTGTGTCCCTTGAAATTATAAATTATCGATCGACTTTATCAGCTTCGATGTATCGTCCATTATCGGTGTTTGTCGACGTGATCCGTTTGTTGCGTCGCTTGCTGCGTAGTTCAGTACGGTAGAGTCCCCTTTCTTTCGAACTTTAGTTCCGACGTGAATATTTGAATACGTTGCAACGAAACGTTTGTCGCTGAGTAATGATTTTATAGGTAATATGATATTCGAAAAAATAGTAGTTGGGGCGAAGTTGAGTTTCTTATTGTATATTGAGCCCCTTTCGTTCGATCGATTTTACCAAACATCGATATACCGTTTATTTATTGACGATCGTTTTATTTTCTCTTCTATTTATTGCATTGCTCCTCCCACGTTCTCTTGCGTCATTATCTTTCTACGTACGTCAGTCACCCGTTTCGGTGTGCAGCAGAGTCTCCTTTATTCGAACTTTTGTTTCCTAAATATGCTGTGAAACAGTTGTCAATGAGTAATGATTTTTCAATTACCAAGAGACAATTTCGTCGGGTAAACTAAAGTATTTGAAAAATGGAGGTTCTATCTCGATGAAATTATAAATACCACCAAGCCTCCTTCGTTCTATCGATTTTGTTATCTTCAAACTTTGATGTATCGCCCATGATATTTATTGGCGATCGTTTTATTCTCTCTTCTGTTCGTTTCGCCGCTCGTCTCACATTCTTCGCGTTGTTGCATTGCTCTCTGCCGTTCTCTATCTTTCATCGCTGCCCTTTTGCTAAGTCAGTCACCCCTTTCGGTGTATCTCGATGAAATTATAAATACATCAAACCCTCCTTCGCTCGATCGACTTTATTATCTCTTACCAAACTTTGATGCATCGTCTAGAATATTTACTGGCGATCGTTGTACTTCTTCTATTTGTTTCGTTGCTCTTCCCACATTCTTCGCTTTATTACATTGCTCTCCACCCTTCTAACTAACTTTCGTTGCTCTCATTTCGCTACGTCAGCCACCCCTTTCGGTGTGTCTGGATGAAATTATAAATACATCAGACCTCCTTTGTTCGATCGACTCTATTCTCTCGTTAAATTTAGATATATTGTCCGGGTTATTCATTGACGATCGTTTGATTTCCCCTTCAATTTATTTCGTTGCTCTCCCCATGTTTTTCGTGCTGTTGTGCATTGCAACTCCCTGTCATTCTAACTCTTGTCGTCGTTCTTCTGCATCGGTTAGTCCTTTCGATGTACTTTGATATTATAAATACACCAAGTCTCCTTCGTTGCTAGGTTATCTGCCGATGATCGTTTTATTTGTTTCGTTCATCGCTCTCCTCTTGCTACGCCAGCCACCCCTTCTCGACGTATCTTGATGAAATTATAAATATATCAACCTAACCCACGTCCGATCGACTTTATTATCTCTGGGTCAAACACATGGGCGTGTTATCCAGGATATTTGTGTTCCTCGTTCCTTGGCCCCTCTCGTTCGATGAATCAATGATACGGCTCCTCCCGAGACGCGGACTGCATCGGCATCCCTTATCCCATCCCTTATCCGTCTCTGTCCGTTTTTGCTCATCTGCGATCGTTTTTACCAACTTTATCCAACCGATCTGATCTTCTCCTCCGCATCCTCCAGTACCTAATTACCCCCGTCGTTCCATCGGGTTTCCGCGTCTCGGTTTCCAAACGCCATTATCGCGGTCGCCTCGTTTCCACGAGTCGTGGTTCACCGAGTAAGGCGGGCGTTTCTTCGAAACAGCTCGCCGGACGACCGTTTCAACGATGCTCCACACTCTCGCCGGGAGCTTTGTCGAGTTCCACCTTTGTTTCCCTTTTAATCTCCGCGTCAAAAGGGGTGCCGGCTGACAGAGGCGAGAGGCGGTCACGCGAGCCGAAGCTGGGACACCGCCGACAACCCTTCTCTGTTACCTATATCCATCCGGTCACGAGCCTTTCTTCGCGCGTCGTTTTAATGGCCAAGGCAAAAACTGGGTGCACATAGTGCGCGGCGTATATGATGTATGTAAGGCATGGTAGATAGCGGTGCGAGGTTTCCTCGCGAGGCAAGGATAGACAGCCGCTTTGGATCAACTTGTCTCGTGTCTTAACCCTTTTAGTCCGAATGGGTTATACACGCCTTCTCGGGGAAAATTTAATGCAACCTCCCGCTAGAAAGTGAATATTAAGCTCTGTTTAGCCGAAGTTCCAGTGGCGCGTTACCGGAAGACAAAGTTAATCCATTAACGGGCCGAGTGATAATTTGTAAAATGCTTTTCAAATGGATAATTGAAAGTTTCATGAGATTCTAGAGTAAATGGGAACTCTGAATGGATATGGGATATGCGGAATTAAATTTTATGGGCACGGACGCGCCGATGAAAGGATTCGACAGCGTGTATTGAAAAAGAATTGCGGATGAAGTGTTGCATTAACGCAGACGTTACGATCCGTAACGAGTTGGAACTTTGGACAGCGTGTGAATTGCGCAATCGGATTATTTATAATTAACTTTTGCTGTCCCAGCCGGGAAATATACGCCCCGCTGGGAGAGGGGGCGGGAGTTTTAAAGTAAACGTTTTTTAAAAATTAGTATTATATTCAGCGTGTTTTGAAATACGTAGAATCGCGTTCAGATATTCTCTGTTGAATAGCTCTCGCAAAAAGTGTGCAACACTTTGAGCAACGTAATCTGGCTCCTTGCAATTAACCGTACGAGGACTATTTTATTCCAGAGTTTTGTAAAATCGTATATTTCTCATGTTTCCACATGCACAAGCAAATGATCGTTTGATCGACGCATGTTCATATAAAACTTCCGTGCGTGTAATATTCGATCTCAATATTGATACCTTATCCTACGTTCGTTAAAAAGTGATCAGAGTTGGAGCATTTCAGCGACACGTTGAAAAACCTATTTACAACACAAGAGAAAAGAATTAAAAGCGTCGTCCGGACGTTTGCACGGGGCTCAGCTGGGCAAGCGCAGAGAGCAGCGCGCAGCTTAAATCACCTAATCATCAATTCCCTCTTTAAAACTTTAAGCAGCCGAGGAATCATTGGATCCGCCGGGAGCTTGACTTCGCTATTAAATAATTCACGTAATCCCTTATTCAATCACGAAGAAACATATCGATCGTTGGTTTATTGAAGTTAGACGGCGCGGAGTTGGTGCAGGTCCGGTCCAACAAATAGAAGATCCCGGCTTGAAACCTTGATCCAACAAACTCCGCGGTCGATTCCATCCCTTT